AAATATAAATAATGGATACATATTCAAGGCTTATATGTTCAAGTAATCAGCTGTTTTATGAAGGGAAATGTTTAAACTATTTAAGAAAATATTAAAGGGGTCTTTGTCTCAATCATAAACAGTGCAGAGTATTTAAGTGTTTTTAGTTTTGTTATTCTTAGTCTCAAATGCAGCCTCAAAGGCTGATGTAGTTGCAACTAAACCTGAGATGAAAGATAATCCATTTATTGTTTTAAAATGAGCCTTTATGAGATTATATTAGATGTTTTATTCACTGTTTGTTTACCTATTAGCTACTGAAGCTTCTAACTGAGTCTGTTTGGTTTGAAGTATTTATTTTCACACATCTAAGATGTGTTAAGTTGCAGCAGCTTATAACACCCAACTTCCTCATACGTCTGCTTTAAAATAAAAGCACATCACAGAGATGGTAATAAGGGACTTTTATTGTGAAATAACTTTCCGGAACTAAATGTGTTTATGGCTCGGAGCTGCAGCAGAGCTGCAGCGGCGATTGTAGTCCCGAACGCTGCAGTGAGAAAAATCACTCAGCCATTTCTTTGCCCGAGAGTAAGAACCACAGCCAACTTCTTTAAATCATCTTGGACTCAAGACAATAAGACATCAGTTTATAAACACCTTCAGCAGGTAGACCCACAGTAGTGGAGGTGCTTATCCGTGCTGCACTATACTGAAGTGGCACCGAGCCAAGAAAAGGGTCTCTGTCTCTCTGTCTGTCGTCCAGAGCGATGAAGGAAAATCATTCATAGCAGGCCTATTTTTTTTAAGTCAGTAACTGATGTGCTTTAAAATGTAGCGAATTACAGTACTTAACAGAAAACCTACTTAAGTAAAAGTACAGATTTTAAAAACAACTTAAAAAGTAGTAAGTACAGCAAAAAACTACTCAATTACAGTAACGCAAGTAAATGTAATTCGTTACTTTACACCTCTGGTAGTATCAATATAGGCTATCAGAGGGGCAGTCATGATAAAACTACGACATCATTCCCCAGGCTGGGATTTCAATGATACCAGTATCCTTATCAACTCTTATCAATAGTTCTCTTATTAAAGACATGACATAAAAGATGTTTAAATGTACCGTATTTTCCGCACTATAAGGCGCACTTAAAAGCCTTTAATTTTCTCAAAAAACGACAGTGCGCCTTATAATCTGGAGCGCCTTATATATGGATCAATTGGTTAATTGGTTGATCCATACTGGTTGTACACGGCGCTCAGCGACACTGACTCGGATAATGACGAGAGGGAGCCGGGCATGTTGGATGCCGTACTCGCCCAACTGTTCAATTCGGACACTGAAGAAGAAGAATTCGAGGGATTCGTGGACGGGGAATGAACTGAAAAAGTGAGCTTTACGTGTTATACGTAACTGAACAATGTTGAGTTATGCACTAACGCAGGGGTGCCCAACCTTTTTTGAACCAAGATCTACTTTTAAAGTTACCAGTCTGCCGAGCTCTACCAGTCCACATAGTGAGCCATAGCCTTTACCAACAGCCTACAAACGCATTTAATACTCACACAACAAACAGAAAATAATAAATGAGAGTTCTGTAAAAAATAATGCAGACTACAGACTACAGCAGGCTGCTGTGAGATGATTTTGCTTTTGTTAAATTAGCTGCAGACACGATGAGAGTGAACGGAGTAAAGTCCAACCGACTGTTTGACCGGGTCACGTGTGTTCCCATGAGAGAATGCTGTTCCCTGCTTCAACCCCTAAATTACACTTTCTTTGAAGTGGATTGTGAAAATGTGACATTACAAAGACTGTTTAACCTTAGATAGTCTGCAGGTTTCTGAGGCATTGATTGATCCTGCATCAGGAGCAGAAAATAATTATTTGATAATAATCATCCGCTTAATTACCCAGAGAGATTCAATTCAGTTTTTATTTGTATAGCGTCAACTCATAACAAGTGTTATCTCAAGACACTTTACAAAAAGCAGGTAAAAGACCTTACTCATTGTTATGTTACAAAAAGCAGGTAAAAGACCTTACTCATTGTTATGTTACAAAAAGCAGGTAAAAGACCTTACTCTTTGTCTTTTAACATTACAAAAGAGCAGGTAAAAAAACCTTACTTATTGTTATGTTACAAAAAGCAGGTAAAAGACCTTACTTATTGCTATATTACAAAGATCCGGCCTATCCATCATGAGCACTTTAGCAAAGCAGCAAAAGTTACAGTGGTAAGAAAAAAACTGCCTTATTAAAAGGCAGAAATCTTCGGCCGGATCCCCGGCTCATGACGAAACAGTCTTCACAGGCCTAGACTGCGCCGGGCTTGGAAAGGGATAGGGGGAGAGATGAGATAAGATGCAGGAAGAGGGATAGGGAGCAAGGGGTGGGGGAGACAAGTCGTCCATCAACAATCCGGTGGGGAGGGGGGTTGTTCTGGCAAGCTGTCCATCAACAATCCGGTGGGCAGGGGGGGTTGTTTTGGCAGGCTGTCAACCAACGATCTCGAGGAGCCTAAGAGAGATGTGATGTCATTTATAAACCCATCCATGTCTGTGACAGTGTAGTTTATTGGGGAAAATGTTTTTAATGCTTACTGTGTAGGTGTCACATTGTCCTATGTATTGAACACTTAGGTCTGCTCTCAGAAAGAGAGAGAGCTGCAGAGATTGGGAAGCAGGGAGAAGTTTGAAGGTAAAGAGTAGTTTGTGAAAGAGTAGAGAAAAACTTGAGTAAATTAAAAGAGGAAACACACACACACACACACACACACACACACACACACACACACACACACACACACACACTATTCTACTGCCCGTATACTGATTTGACGTGTACAGGGAAAGCGAGCTGAAACTTGTTTTTATCAGACTCAAGAAGCAAACTGTAATAGCATGACTAGTCCACTGTGTAGCTGATAGCAGCTCATGGAAGCCTCTGTGCTGCATATGAAGGACTGTTAACGTTAATACCGAGGGAGCACTATTACCCTGAGCTTAACGGTACTCTCAGCACCGGCCAATCAGGTGTCAGTACCAAAAAGTCTTGGTTTTCAGTACCCACCCCCAATGGTGTCTTTTAAAATGAGTTGTTTTGATTTAAAAGGCATGTATTGAACTCCAACTTTAAATGTATAACACCTGGACCTCATCTCTAAACCATGACCATGAGCATTCACCTGTTGCAATTGGCAGTTGCAGGTATTTGGTACAAAGCTGTGAAACATCAATATAAGCGAATGGTAAGCCATGTTGCTTTCAGACACTCATTAACTCCTCCCCTCTGTTCAGACTATTACCACTCTCTGACAGTGTCCTTGTCCTAATGAACAGTGTGCCCATGGTCAGGGAGTCTGCGCTTGTTCACCTTCAGGAATACTTATTTATATGAATACACTTTGCATTTAAAAGGTATCTAGAAATGTCTCATCCTTTCAATAAAATTCTCTTGCTTTCATATTTCATAATTCTATTTCTGTTCCACAGCCAAAGGAAGGAGGAGACATCGTCGAGGAGAGTCACAAGCAGTCAGTGAGGAAAAGGAGAGTAAGGAAAGACTGATGAGGTGAACCCCATCGCCTGCGGTCTCCTTGCTCACCTGATTTGGCGGAGGTGGAAGGGCCCTCTCTGCTGCTGCTCTCCCCCTCTCTGAGCTGAGCAGCATGAATTTCCTCACACCACCTGGTAGCCCGCAGTCACCCCGGCTGCCCCATTCATATCTCTCCATCCCTACAAATACACCCATAACAGGTCTGCAGTCTCCCACAGCCTGTCCTATCTCACCTGTCCTCCCATCTCCCCCTCTCCTTTCTGCGTGCTTGCTGTACTATCAGATAAATCACATTGAGATGTTGTGCATTTAGCTGTTTTCCCCTCCTCTATCTTAAACTTCTACTCCTTTATCCTTCTCTTCTCTATGCCTTCCTTTTCTAAATGCCTGCCTAAGATATCCCTCCTCTTCCAACTCAGTTCATGTGTTCCTGGTCTCTGTCAGTCTTCTCTCTGAATAAATGCCATCGTTGATCAACCTGAGTATCTCCTCTCAGAGTGAGGGCAGCAGCTGCTCTGCTTTTGTCTACAGTTTCATACCATTTCACAGCCTCTCTTAAGGGCCACATCTCAGAAGTATGACTTTATTCTTGTTCCTTAGTTTAAAAAAAAAAAAATGCTCTCGGACATCGTGTGACAAAGTTCCTTCCTTGTTCAAAATTGTTTGTTCGGGAGGAGATGAAGCGAAGGTGCACAGAGCAGCTGTTTGAGATGTTGTCATGACATTTCTGCTGATGAATTTCTTGATCTTAAGTTATTAAAAAAATAAAGATGATCTGTTTAGATAGAAGGTAGTTTGTAAAAAAGCAGCAGTGACTTCTTTTATTTCACTAAGTTATAGCAGAATTGATGATTAGCACTAATAACACTATTTATTTAAATTTGGTTTGAGCCAGTATGGATTTACATGCAGTGTTTGTTTGGAGAGGAATATGAGATACCACTGATGTTTAGATACGGAGCCCAGGTCTGTTTGCATCGTTTCACTGGTGTAAAAGTTAACATTTGAACAATGACTCTGTAAGTGCTTGCCACATTAAAAAAAAGATAATTTCAAATGCCTCGGCCAGCAGATCTCAACATGGCATTGTAATAATGTGTGTTTCTGGATCTACAACCTGTGAAAACGTGTCTCATTCAGTCAGTCTACAGCAGTGCTTTCCTGCATTCTCTTGAATGATGCAGTTCAGATACTGGACTGTTGCTTCGGGATGATGCTAATGATGCATATTTATTTGTTTTATATTATTGTCTCAAGCTTTCGTAGTTTATGATTTTGCCAGGTGATGGCAGATATCCCTGTTTACATTTTTTTTGTTTTTGCAAAGTGTACATTGCTAATGAAAATAAACTATTTAATACAAAATACTTGTCAAAGGTATGAGGCACATATTTCATTTATTTCTATGCATTCTATCACCAATCAGAAAGTGTAGAAGAGACAAAAGACGCAGACGGGAGTGATTTTAGGGTTTTATTAAAACAAAAATGTTTAAAGCAACATTGTAGTGTCTACACACGGAGAAGTTGGTACCAGGGTGTGTGTAGATGGGGCATATTCAGCATGCCAGGAAGAAATCAATGTAATACTTTTATACAACTGTTAAAATATCAAAATTACCTCAATAAATTACAGCATATACAGTTTGTAGCCTTGTTATATCCAGTTCCTCCCTTTTTGAAAGCACCACAGTAACATGATAACAGGTGGATTCACGACTTTCAGACATTGAACAGAATACTTTGACTTTAAAGGGAATATGAACCTTTAAAAACAACATGATTCATCATCCTGTACATCCACCTTCAGCCCTTTCTTATTCTCATCTACAGCAGCAGTGTCATAGGAGGACACACCCTCACTCTGCTGCTCAGTTTACAGTCAGACCAACCCTCCATCACCTGATGGATTGCAGGCTTGGCTGAGAGGGATCAATAGCACTCAAGGCCTCTTCACTGCTTTCTGTCTTGCATGCAGGCTTTGCCTCTGCATTTATGACCCTTCTCCTTTGTCGCTCTCATGTTACAGTTTGGGTCACAACACTCAATTATGAAACAATGCAGAGAAAGGGCAACACACATGTTTTAAGTACAGAAAGTAAGGTGTCATTGTGATAATAAAAATAAATGCATAAAAACATCAGTGATGTTAGTTAAGACCCAAATTCCTGTGCTAATAGATTTTAGTTTCTCTTTGCTTTCACTTCCGCTTGCAGCACTTACAGTATATGGACAACACATATTCTGCTTAGTTGTAAATTCCAATTTTACTGTTAGCATAGATGTTAAAAGTATTCCAGAAGTGTTTTTAGGTTAATAAATGTCAGTGTTTTAATGAATGCTTATTTAGATATAACACTATATGTTTCAACTACATGGCCCCTGGTGCTTGTCCATGTCTCACATGTACTGTAGGTGTATGCTAACATATGCATACAAGTCACCGTATATACAAAAGTCATACAACTCAGACCTAATCAAAAAGATGTTTTAACCTCTTTTTATAAAAGTTTAATCGTGAAGTGGGTCATTGGGATGGCCAGATTTCTTTTTGCTACCACCATGTTTCTGTCTGTTCCAGGAAAACCGTTCTGTTTTCCTGGGAAAACAGAAAGGCCAATAAAGTACTCTAAATAATAAGAGAACACATATTTGTATTTGTTTTAACAAAGTGGTTTGGCCAAATCTAGTACAAGGTTGTGTTGTATGTTTAATGAGATCTACAGCACTCACAACCAGCAAAAAACAATCTTACTTTACAAAATGCAACTCTAAAGGTAGAACTGGTGTGCCATGAAAAAATATGATCCTGTATGTTTTAGAGGAGAATATTTATTCTAACCTGAGAGAAACTATCAAATTGAGACTATACATGATTAGTGCTTCTATTTTTTCTTTTGAATAAGTGACTAGATCTTAACAAGGCCAGTTTTTTACATTTGATGTTGATGGTTCTAATTAATTTTAACTGGAGTAATTAGGTCCCTGTTAGCACAGTTTCCAGTTTGACCTGTATCTTATATTAACTTTATAGTGGTAGCATTTCTATTTCAAGCATCTTTACACCTTCTGCTGCTAACTTATAATTGATTTGAGGCCATACATGAGATGTGCAAATCTTTCAAACCAAAGGAAACCCATTCAGGAGATCTATTTGTTCTCATCCATGTGATCTGTATACCATCAGCATTCTTAGTAATACTGTTTAGTTTGTTTGCTTCAAACGGGGGAATACATAGATGGCAAGATGACATCCAAAACCTGCCAAAAAACTCAGATCCAGCTGATGCAGACACACATTTACAAAGATAAATAAAAGAAACCAGACATTAAATTCAGGTTATTTGTAGTATTTGATGGGTTGTTTCAGCCCAACACAGGTCAGTTTGAGACAGAAACTAGTCCTCAAACAGAAAACCAGGCAGGTTAAATGGGTTAACAGGATATATTAGAGTTTGCAAAGGAGCTTAAAGAAGAAACTTAAGGTAAAAAATGACCCATAACCACTTCATATACTTCTTGTTTTTGTGTAAGTAAATAAAGGTTAATGTCTACCTGGTTTGTAGTGTGGAGAGGAAGCTGCTACAGAACAGACCCAGGCCAGACTAACATGAAATGTATCTTTTTCTGAGCCTGCAGGATGGGTTAAAGGATCAGTTTATGTTTTGGATTATTAAATAGTTATTTTCTGCTCAGGTAAGGGGGCTCTCTCTGTTAAAGAAAAAAAAAAAAGAAAACGCCCAGGTCTGTCGACAAAACTAAACTCTCTCCATGTCTCCATGGTGGGGTTTCCTCTCCCAGCTATTAGCAGAAGACTTGAAGGTACCTCACTTCCGTTTGCTCTTGGTGTCAGTGGTCTGGAAGACGCTGGAGGCAGACATGAGGTTCTCGATGTACTGACCAAGGACCTGGTTCTCTGACTTTAACTTCAGGTTCTCTTCCTTGACTGCGTCGACTCGTGCTGACAGATCTAAATGAAAACAAGGAAATGGAACGATTAGAAGTGACAAAAAAAAAGAAAAAAATGTAGAAAAAATCCTGTCTTGACAGGTTTATGGTTCACAATGGATTATGTTGAAAGATGAGGTGCACGGATAGCACACTTACTGCATCCTCTTTCATTTGAATGCATCAGAGGCTCAGCGTGTGTACCTAGCAACATCACTGCATAAAAATTAATGCAATGCAGCTTAGGTAGGTTTAAGGCACCCCCCCACACAGTTGTTTTGCCCCTCGGTTTGCCTGGCAAACTGCAAACCGACAGGTGAACTGATTCAGATAGAACTGATCCTTACTGACCTAAAAAGCCTCTGCATTTATCTCATAAGCTCCATGGCCAGAAACGTGGTCAAACTAGGATAAATATTAGAGATACTTTCAAACACAGAGAGAGGTTAGAACCCAAAAAGGTTTCAAGATCAATGCAGAGCTGGTTTAATACTGAAACTTCACTGTCTGACATGGCAGATAGTACCCATTTTAAACTCTAAGTGGCAGAGTTACATACTGCTCCTTTAAGTAAAACTGGTCCTTCCATTGGGCTTTAAAAGATACAACACTACATTCACCTTTAGGTTTCAATATACAACAGTAACAATGAGAGCGTCTGTGTTTTACCTTCAAGTGTGTGCTGAAGTTCCAAAACTTGATTTATTAACCTCGTCTTCTCCTCCATCTCCACCTGGTTCTCCATGTCTCCTGAGACAAAAACAAAGACTTCTTATCTTTAAACACATAATGTCATTACTCCTGCTTATTAATGTCTCACATATTATTCTTCACTGATGCAAGAAGCAAACTCACCATCTATGTCACAGTTCATGATGAAAAGCTCGGTCTCCTGTTTCGTATACAGGGCTACACGTCCACTGTCCACTGTGAGAGGAAAAGAACAAACAATGTTAGCTCCATTAAGCAGACATACTACGTATGATAGGATGTTATGACAGAACTAATATTTCAGTGATCTTTGCTTTGATCCACTTCTCTTTTAATATTTAAGACTGGGGCTTGTTTCCCTGGAAGTTGGTCAATCAAAGTGCTACCCAACTCAGATCCTGACATCTGCTTTAGCCATCAATTAGTAGGTGATGGCCTTAACCAGTGGTTCTCAACTGGGGGATGGGGACCCAAAAATGTGACGCAGAGCCATTTTTGGTGGGTCATGGACACGTGAATGGAAAAAGTTTGTTGCAAATAGTTTATGTAACACTTGTATTTAGGAGGACATGTTTCCAATGGAGCAGTGTGTAGTAGTAGGGTGTAGTTCGTACCACTCAGTAGATCGCTGTAATTCACCTTAACAGCAAAAGAACAAAAATGAGAAATCTAAAGATTGTTTTCATGCTGGCAGTTTAGCATTGTGAAACACAAATAAGATACAGAATACACAGGTAAAATGAGTTTTATCCTCAGTCTCGTGTGCAGCAAAGTGATGGCACACAAAAATATGAAGCCATCCAAACTGAAAAGACATTTAGAAAATGAAAATCGGCTTATATAAACAAACCTTTTGAGTTCTTCCAAACTGTTTTCAGTCTTGGGGACAAACTATCGTTCGTTGGATCATTTTGACTGGTTTAAAACGTTCAGAAATGTGGGTGGTGATTTGTTTTAAAACGTTCAGAAATGTGGGTGGTGATTTGTGATTAAGTAGGTGGTGGTGGGTCCAGATTCTAGACCATTAACTGAAATATGAAATATTACCTTGCTTTTTTAATTTGTTGCTCAATATAGATGTATTTTTTTGTTCGAGGTGGCGTGCCTTGACTTTCTATGTGAGGCACAGACATATCTGTTGTAAACAGAATAACTGAGCTTTCTAGTTAAGTCTGGGTTTTAGCTATGAAAACAAATGTTTTACATAGGGATGGGTGGGTGGGCACTCAAAGGGGGATAGCCATAACATGCAAGTGAATAATAGCAATACATAGTTGACATAAATTGGTAAGAAGACTTCAGTCATATGGACGTGTGTGGCATCTTGGCCTTCAGCTCCCAAGTCAGCCCAAGATTAGATCAACAACAATATCAATTCTGATATTTGATATGTGGTGTCTCTCAATCCTACCAATATATATTGATAAACATGATCTTACATCTGTGTTTCTAATTACTTTTAGTCTATACCATTAACCCTATGGTGTACAGTTGTCCACTGTGTGAACAGACAGCAGACACCGCACCCATCAGCAAACTGAGGCCAAGTAGTGAAACTGCTGACCAGCTAAATATCACAGGATATGGTTAGTCGTGATAGTGTCGTTTTGTCTTTTTAAACAACCTGATGTTTGTTGACCCTGAAGCAACAAATAAACCACAGAGTTCAGTCAAATCAAGTCGTTTTCGTGTATCTCTTCTAAAGTTACTCAAAGAAACGGAGTTCCTGTCTCTGCTGAAGTCTAATTTAACATGATCATCATTTCGTCTTCCTGCAGATGGGACATCTTCCATCTTCATCCCGAACTGGTACTAACAATATTTATGCTTTCCCTAAACATCTGTAGGTAAACTTCCTGAATCTGTAAAACGCAGACATAAACAGAATAACATGGTGAGAGTAACATGATACTGACAGCAGAGACATGTCCGATAATGGACGCACACTAGATAAATAGCTAACTAAGCTAACTGTATCTTTGGGTAGCTACACCGGCGCAGCTGCAACATTTTAAACACCAAAATGCGCAGCAAGTGCCACAATTAAAACAACCAAAACTCTGTCGTTTACTAAGGCTTATATTTAAAGATACTCGTTGGTAATACATTTCATAAAAAGCCAACGGGAGAGGCTAAAGCTCCCGTTGGCTGTTACATGCTAACTACTGCTTAGCTAACTAGCTTCAAATGTAAAACCTGCTGGGGTTTAGCTTCACAAAGATATCTGTCGCAGAAATAACCTAGCTTAGCACATGTTTAAACTTACCTAAAGAAATAACTGTCTCCTCCGTATAGCGGAGTTACCCTGCACACTGACCGGAGGCTCTGTGATGATGATGAAGATGATGTCTGGTTACTTCACCCATCAACAGCGTCAGCATGACGTCACGCTCTGTATATGAACACACCGCCCGACAGGGGGCGCAGCCACGCACTCACACTACAGTGTTAACAAACAGATGCACACAGGCGTTCACAGACAGGCTGAGCAGCAGCTGACCAGCACTGTCATCATGTTGTTTAGTGCAGCTTTCTGTCCATCTGGCCATATGGAGTGGTCACCTGTATGAACTTAATATACAGTACTGTGTAGGCTATGTGTTTGGTATCCTTGCATCCTTCGCTCTGAGTCCATCTGCTGCTATTTGTTATCCTGTACCCCAGAAACACTGCAGCTTCAGCCCGTAGCTCTCTACAATCCAGTCTCTACAGCTCACACATAGCTCTGTATATATATATTTATTTCTCGTTTACTGCACATAGTTCTGTTTACATCTGGTCACTACTGCACATAGTTCTGGTTACATCTGTTTACATCTGTTAGTCCGATCACTGTCCACTTATATCTACTCCTTTATATTTTGTATTTTGAAGTTAAGTTTAAGCTTTAAGTTGTATTTAAATTGACACTTTATATTTAGGTTAAAATGTTTCGTTTACTTGCACTGTTGTTAATTTACTGCTCTGTGGGACTTTGAATTGCCCCCCGGGGACAAATAAAGTTTTTTGAATTTAATTGAATCTACTGACTGTTCACGGTAGGCTACTTTCAAATCTTTCAGAATGACAATACAGAGCTTTGAGCAAACAAAGATACTGACTTTGGACCAAAATTCATGAAATGGGTAAAACAACGTTCTATTTTGGTTGCTCCTTAACTGCTGGATTTGTAAACAAACAAAAAAAAACACATGAATACATAGGCTATATAGTAAATTGATCGAGGAGGAGTTTGATGAATCAATCTATTGAAAAATGGACACATTCACAACATCTTATATTCCATATTTTAAAAAAACACACAGGCCTATATGTCAGCACATCCCAGTAAGAAGTTTTGTTTTTGTTTTGTTGAATGAAGGACAGAACTGTGTTATTTGCAGAGTTTGCATGAAACACCGTGTCCAATGAAAATGTCAGAAAAAGATTCTTCAAGATATATCTTACCAGCGGCTGCAGAAGACAACATTATATCAATGTTGTCTTGTTATAGACAACATTGTGGACAACATGCTCAGTCAAAATCACTGAGCATGTGTGGGGAATAAAAGTTTAGCAGATGTGCAGTGAATAGCATTAAAAAAGCAATGCAGCTTTTGTTGGAGCCACACCTCAGTCCTGTCCCAGCACAACACACTAACATAACCACTCTGGTTTTACAAGGTATTTCTCTCCACATTGTTGCCCTTTGTTCGGTCACATGCTAACTGCTAACTGTTATTAAGTGCACTGTTACTTACAACAGAAACAAGATATTGCTACCAAAAAAAGAGGGGCTTAGTTTGATGAAATGCAGATTTCAGCACTGTAGTCGCTCATCACCTGAGGAACATGCTCTGTATCAGAAGAAGTGTTTGATGGTTTCTTTAAATAAATTACAAATATTACATTCTACTTGTTTTAGAATGGAAGTCATTAAAATACTCTGACTGGCTCCTCAGTTGCTGGTAAAAGAGATAGCCTAAGTGCTAGAGTTTGTTTTCATCCCACAAAAAGTCAAGGACAGAGAATGATAGCTTTACCTGTGTCGTCTCCTAGAGAGATGTTAGTGAACGTCCCATCATCCTCCTCGTCTACTTCTGCCTCCATGACCTGAGCCTCCTTTTTTTCCTCCAGCCTTCTTCCCTTTTGGTTTTTACCTCAAGGAGTCATTGATTAGTGTCTGCGCTTCTTTTGTCTTTCTCTGTTTAATCTTTGCTCTTGTTTTGTCTCTCTTCCTCTCTACTTGTCTGCCGGCCCTGCCTACACACACACACACACACACACACACACACACACACACACACACACACACACACACACACACACACACACACACACACACACACACACACACACACACACCTGCTGCCGAAGCCTTCACACTGTCACGGTTACCTGCTCTACCTGACTGGTGGCTCAGGTTACAGACCTGTCAGGGGAATTGGTCTCCATGGAGACCACTGGACCAAAACATAAGGTAGACTGGCCCAGCAGGAAAACTATCAGGGGTCAAAGTTCCAGTCTGCTTGCATGTAACACTCACACACACACACACACACACACACACACACACACACACACACACACACACACACACACACACACACACACACACACACATTAACCTAAAAAGAGTGTGTGCTGATAATGAGGGCATGTAAATACAGTCTGATGATCTATATATTCGACTTTGCTCAACAAACTGAACATCACAAACTCACAGTGCTGAATGAAGCCGTTTTTTTCTGTAATTACTCCCACTTCTTTCGCACGCTTTGATGACGTCTCAGTGAAATGACAGAAGAGTACGTGAAACCGGTTCCTTCACATCTCTGTGAGCAGCCTGCACTCTGGTGGTCAATGTGGAACACTGCAGGTCAGTGACAAACATCAGAGACTCCATGTTTCACTGGAGACAACCTGCAGTGACGCTGCAGTTTACACACACCAGCAGACCTGGAGCTCTCCTGGTCTCTGGATTTATGTTCCAGTTCAAACACTGTATTATAAGATGGAATGACAACTAGTAATATTATGTTTATCACAAAAAGACCTACAGAAATACCTGGCCAGCAGAAAATGATAGCACTGCGTGGTTTTGTGTTTACATCTGCATTTGTCTGTGTGTTTATTGGTTTGAACATTTATGTGATCATAATATTCTGCACAAAGACATCTCTGATAAGAGGGGTAAATGTTGTTAAACGTTCCACACTTCAGGATTTAACCAGGTGAGCTCAGGCTTTACCTTTTTTAGCTTCCCAAAAGAATTGTACCGACTGGCTGCATTATATATTTAATTATTTTCTAATGTTTTAATAATATAAAAATTGTTCAAATGTTTTAATACTTTTTATGGTTTGCTTTGTTTTTTTTCCTTTTCTTTATTTTATTTTGCTTTGCTAATCTTACACTGTTGTTGTGTCTTTGTCAATACCTTTTAGAAGAATCATGTACGTCTGGTTTTGAAAGGCATGATTAAGGTCTTATTATTTTAGTGGCTTATTGCCACTTTCTACATATGTGTGCGTTGGTGCATGTGTTGTTGTGCACGTTTGGGTGTGCTTGCTTGCATGTGTGCATGAACATGTGTGTGTCTCTGGTTGCATTTAAATTGCAGAGGGTTCTTCTGCCACATATAGTGGAGAAGGAGATGACATTTATAGGGACATTTATAGAGCCCAGCTGCTGATCTCAGATCAGCTTTATCACTCACACTGTATAATGACGACACTGCCAAATAAACTTGGCAGATGAGTCCCACAAACAGTCCAGAGGAAAGCAGAGAACAAAAGGCTCAAAGTGAACAGGCTGCTGGAGGATGATCAGTCATTGTTCAGAATGAAGATCTGAGTATAAAGGTGAATGTCTTAGTGTCCTGTGTCTGTATGTCTGTGTGATGCTTTATGAACAGTGTGAGGTTGTAGCACACAGAGAAGGTTTGACCCCTACACAACCTGGAAGCAGGCCACTGAACCTCACTGCACACACACACACACACACACACACACACACACACACAGATACACACATGCATGCGTGCACATAAACACACACACATTGCAGTCTGATTTTCTGACCTTTATTCTTGCCCCTTTGTGTGTGGTGAACAGTTTCCCTAATTTGTATATTGAGCACACTTTTGCTTGTTGTTGAAATCTGCAAGCAGTGTGGTCTTTCTCTCCTTCTCTTTGTGTGTATGTGTTTGTGATTTGTTGTTAATTATTGCTGCGCAGTGACTTCCAGGAACCAGATCAAGATCTGTACCAGGATTAGCTGCATACACAACTTTAGAGAGAGAGGAGTGTGTATGTGTTGGTGTGACTGTTCTCTCCCCTGTGATAGTCCACAGACCAGATGCCCACTTTGGCACCAACACTCTGCCAGTGTTATGCTAGGCATGGGGCACACACACAGTACATGTGCATACACAAATACACACTGACACACACACACACACAGGGAGGAGAAGAGGCTGTAAAAGAGCACTCGTCCATCTGTCCATCTCCAGGCTACTCTGGTACCGAGCACATCAGCATGTTTGTGTCTCCCAACTGTGTCCTCAACAGTGTGTGTGTGTGTGTGTGTGTGTGTGTGTGTGTGTGTGTGTGTGTGTGTGTGTGTGTGTGTGAGTGTGTGTGTATGTGTGTGTGTGTGTGTGTGTGTGTGTGTGTGTGTGTGTCTTTATGAAAGTCCAATAATGAATCTCTGTGGAGTGTAAGCTAAATTCAGCTCTGTGAAAAAAAATATTTCCCTTTATTAACGGTATTTTTTTTCCAACTGAGTGATAATTGAAATCAAATCACACAAATCTCAGATGAACTTTTCTGTCTGTAAATTGTCTGTTTGAACCCCATCACTGTTACTCACATGCATGTTGTTCAATTTGAACCACTAGTTAAGTTTAATGAAAATGTTTGTTTCTTGAATGAATATCGACTATTTCTTCCATTTATGTTTGTAAAGTATAATTACACATATTATGAGTATACTTTCTCACACAGTCCACTAACTTCAACACCTTTCATATCATTTCAGTTGGTTTACTTTCCATAGGAACATGAAAGTAGCATAATGGATGACTTTCAGGGGGCATAAGGAACTCCATTAGAGGTCCCAGTGACTCAAACTTGGTTCAAAGTTAGCGGCCATAACAACCATGCAATCTTTGCAAAGCTGCACCGTGAAGCTGCACCTGTGAGCAGTGCTCACCTCTGCACCGTGAGCACTGCTCACAGGAAGGAGGTTCCATTGCCTCTCTGTGTGGAGCTTGCATGTTCTCTCTGCGCCTGTGTGGATTCTCTCTCCAGGTACTCCGGCCTCCTCCCACAGGCCAAAGACATGCTCCTTATGAGGTCAATTAGTGTCTCTAACTGATTGTCTGTCTCTGCAGTATATGTCGACCCTGTGATTGACTGGTGAACAGTCCAGGTTGTAGCCCAGGAAAAGCAGCATAGGCTACTGGATGGATGATGGATTGTTATCATAAATAAAAGTTCCATATTCTAAAATCTATCTTTTACTGTAGTATTTACAAGCTGCCATTGCAAAGTGTGTACTAACTAAATGAATGAAGTATTTTTGATTGTGTGCAGGGTGCATAGATTGATGACATACTACGTTGTTATAACATGTTTTCCTAAACTTTGGACAAAATGTATAGTCTGTAGTGTCAAGTTCAAATATTCCTGAAAAATGTTTGCTATGAAGAGAATTCTCAAAGCTCACCAGGGATGCTGCACAGCAGTTCAGACTAAGCAACAAATCTTCTGTTGCACAACTACCTTTCTCTGTGAACTTCATCAAGGTTGGGGGATTTACTAAATCATTTCCAGGTTTTCTATTAGCTATGGAGGTATAAATATGGAAGTGTTATTGAATGTGAGTGTTGATACGTTTTCTGTTGTTCTTTAAAATATACATTTATTTTTTGTTATTGATAAAGTCTTTGAATATATATTGTCTCACAGGGTCAGAAAAGCAGATTGGAACTATAATATAAACATTTTTTTATCATCATCATACAATCTGTAAGAGTGTTTTTGTATTTCTCTCGTAATTTGCCAGCTGCCTTATTCAAACATTTGCATTTCCATAAAAGTACCATACTGTCCCTCTTCTTCTGTTTCTTATCGGGTAGAAGCTCAGTCTCTAGGGACTTGGGCTGAGAACCAGAGGGCGCAAATCCCGGTGCAGACAAAGTGAGAGGAGCCGAGAATATTGAGATTATTAAACGCAGTCTTAAAACTCATTTATTCAGTCTGGCTTTTATATAGTGCTTTATATCAATTCAAATCTTAACATTACTGTATTGTCTTTTTTATCCTACTACAATTTTAAATATTCTTCTCCTATGAATTAACTTTAATATCTTATTGTTTTTATATGTCATATTTTATTTTTCATTTTTGTACATATTTTTTTAATTCTTATTGGTGTGCATTAGTCTCTCAATGATTTTATCAATGATTTTATAAACTACTTTTTCGTCAACAACTTTTCTGCACTCTTGTAAAGCACTTTGAACTGCAATTGAATTTGTCTGAAAGGCGCCATATAAATAAAGTTTGATTGATTGATTGATTGATTGAAGTGTGGGAAATGGTCTGGTAGCTGGAGAGGTGCCAGCTCACTTCCTGAGCACTGCCCAAGTTCCCTTGAGCAAAGCAACCAAACCCCCACCAGCTCAGGAACGCTTGCCCCCCTTACTCTGACATCTCTCCTTTAGTGCATGTCCACAGGATCCTGTTTGTGCGTGTGTGTGTATGTGTGTGTACAAAGAATGTATTCTTTTTTATTGTGGGTACAGAAAGACAGATGTGCCCTATGTTTCTCATCTCTAACATGTTAATGCAGGAATGTGTTTTCATCCAGAAACTTAGGAAACTATCCTTTGGAGGGGTTTAGACAATGACTACTACGTTTTGAATTAACCCATTGTGCATTGTGTGACTGACTGACCAACAGATGATTTTATGTCACACATCCTCCACTTTGACCACTGTTTGTCCATTTTCCCATAAAATACTACAGAAAGATCCACCTTCCCCATTAACAGAGGTCACAGCTCTCCTTGTCCACGTGCACACGCGTGTCTCCAGTCTGTACTGACGTCGTTCATTTGTGGCGCTGAATGTGTGTTTGATTGTGTGTATGTGTGTTGGTCCTGCCTGTTAGCTTTATCCATTCACTAATTGAATTGCTCTAAAATATTCAAGGACTTTGAATGAGGATCAGAGTTTTGGGTCATCATATGT